CTCTGCTGCCCGCCTTCTCCTCCACCCGACGTCCAGGTGGGATTTGAAGTCTGCGTTGGTTATAATAACAGTTATCAGTAATTCCTGCCCGGAAGACTTTTATTTATTTATTTTTTAAGATAAAAACTGCACAAAAGGGGAGTGAGAGAGACTAGTTTCCGCTTGCTTCCCTCCGTTAGTGAAGCCCTTGAGGCTGTGTTCAGGGCGGGTGTGTGGACGGGCGCCACAGTCGGTTCTCCCGCGAAGTAAACCTCAGTGCCTGAGACCTTTCTACCAAGCCAACAGCTGTGACAGCTGTAGACACGGCAGGCTGAGCAGGGGCAACCGCCTCCCGCCTAGCGGGCGGCCCCTCCACGTAGCCTGGATGTGGGGAGAGCTGGAGTGCCTGGGCCAGGTGCTTTGGTCCCTTACCCCCTTGAGTCCCTCTGTCTGTTTTACACACCTGGCTGTTGCCTTCTGGCATAGCAGTGTGGCCTCCACGACAGCCCTAGGTGAGGCCATTAGGGGCTTGGCCTCTGGTGAGGGCCACTTGGGACCTCTGCGGGGCACTGGGCAGTTCATGCTGTCTGGCAGTGTGGGAACCAGGCAGTGCAGAGCATGGTTGTGGTGGGGTCTTGCATGTGTGCCCTGTGGCCTCTGAGTCTCCTTGGTGGGAGCTGTGGCACGGCCCTCCCTCCCCTAGGGGAGCTGTGGACATCTCCATGCCTCTTTGCCTTAACGACAGCCATATTGGCGCTGCCCTCCACCCATGAGCAGGGGTGGCCCAGCCACAGACTGTGCTTCGAGACGTCTGTCTCCATCCTGGGAGGGGCAAACCTGGGTGACCCTCCCTCATCCTTGGCACTGTGGACAGAGAACTCTTGCCTCTCATGTGGCCAGGGCCATGCTGGTACCTCCAGGTCCACCTGGCACAGGACACCAAATGGAAGGCCCAGGCAGTTTTTCTGCTTTTGGGACCAAGGGCCAATTGGGACAGTCTGTCAAGGCAGAGCTGTCCTGGGGGATGGCAGGGTGGGGAGGAGCTAGGCTGAAGCAAACCCCCGCTGCAGGTCGCTTGCAGCCATGGAGAAGGCGCCCAGGCTCTTGGGCCCCTGCTTGCCCCTGTGTTTCCCAGGCCATCGTGCCAACATGCTTGAACCCCAGGCGGGCGCTGGGCAGCACATGTTCCAGGGATCTTGCTGCAGCCTCCCGGCTGCTCCTCCACCTGCTCTGTCTCTGTCCCCTAAGCTACTTTCCTTTCCTCCCCCACCAGTATCCCCTTTCTTTGAAGTTCTGGCATTCACAGAATTCATGTTTTCTTTTCTCTTTTAGCTAAACAAAAAGTGTTGTGATTTCTCTGCTTCTGGTTTTGAGTTACTCTTTGTTCAGTAATGCACTTTATATTTTATTGTCCAAAGAGAGTCAAAGTTAAGCATACAGGGTTGGGGGTGAGGCCTGCCCTGCCCAGGCTCTGGGAGGCTCGGCCACCTCCTCTCATACAGGGGGCAGGCTCAGCCCTGCCTCAGATCCTCACACCTGCCCTTGGTGTGGACACACCTCAGGCCACTGGCACCATGACCCAGCGAGGGTGATGAGTGCATACCTGCCCAGGTGGACACATGGTGGCTGCCGCTGTCTCCTGGTTCCCTCCCCTCCTCGCCCCACCCCAGCTCACCTCTAAGCAGGCTGCTCCTGGGACACAGGTGCTCTCGCTATGGGCTTCGGCTTAGGCTCACAGGTCTGCGCTGGCTGGGTTTGAACCAGCCCTGCAGTGGAACCTAATAAAGCGCCTGAAGCAACTGTCCTGCCGCTGGTGTGTTGGTCCCTCGCACGGAACCGTTGTGGGTTGTGGCTGGCATCTGCTCAGTGGACGGTGGTTTGGTAACGTCCCCTGAGATATCACTGTCCTCCGAGGATGTGTTTGCACCATTTACAGGTAGGGAGGGACCCTACTTCCCCTACCTGCTCCTCTGCCCAGGCTCGTTGGCCCTGTTCTTCCTGCTTAACATCTGGGAGGATGACAAGAGCATGTCGGTTTTAAACAGCTGGCCTCCTTGAGGTGCCACCTGGCTGCTCCTGGATCTCTGCTTTGCTGGACAGGTGCACATGACCAAGCAGACAGTGAAGGACAGAGTCCAGGAAGCCCCGCCTACAGTGAGGAGTAAGGCCTGGCGGTGATGTGCTGCCTTCCCTTGTGCCTGACTTCTTCCCATGTGACAGCCAGGGAGCATCCTGAACAAGCCCCTCTGGTCTCCAGGCACCAGCCCTCCCATCCGTGGGTCAGCACCACTTTGTCCTTTGGCCAGGTGGTCCACTGTTCCCTTCAACAGTTACTAAAAGACACAGCATCCTACAGTGATGTCTGAAGGGGCTCTCTAGGGGTAAAGCAGACCATACACAGCCCAGCAAAAAGGGGCACGGTCTTCTGGACTGTGGGGACTGCCCCCGGTCCCACTCCTGAGTGTGGCTTTGCCTTCAACAGCAGTGCAGTCCCCTCCCACTGCTTGTCCTGGGCGTGGCTATCCCATCTCCCATTCCAGCAGTGGGCTCTTGCTCTTATCACTTCAGGGCCTTGAAAACCTCCTTATATGAGAGACAAAGTCCTTGGAGGTTTCCTGCTTCCAGGTTCTATGAAGGAATAAGCTGCTGGACCCTCCCACCCACCCCGGAAATCCAGCAGATGAAACTGCTTGGACTAGGATGCCATCCCACCCCCACCCACTCCCGCACATGTGAGACTTGACCCCTTGGTGCTAAGCCCTCATGGCCTGCAGCTTCTAGTGCACGGGTCCCCCACAGGAGTCTGACCCTGTATTTGTCTTTAGTGAGATGATACCACAACCAATGTGGCTTAGGGATGCACTGACACTCCAAGGTGTGCTGTGCTGTCCCGCATGCTTTCTGCTAGGAGGGTGCACCTTCCACATCCTTTTTTTTGTTTTTTAGACAGAGTCTCACTTTGTTGCCCAGGCTAGAGTGAGTGCCGTGGCGTCAGCCTAGCTCACAGCAACCTCAAACTCCTGGGCTCAAGCAATCCTCCTGCCTCAGCCTCCCGAGTAGCTGAGACTACAGGCAGGCGCCACCATGCCCGGCTAATTTTTTTCTACATATATATTAGTTGGCCAATTAATTTCTATTTATAGTAGAGATGGGGTCTCGCTCTTGCTCAGGCTGGTCTTGAACTCCTGAGCTCAAGTGACCGTCCTGCCTCGGCCTCCCAGAGTGCCAGGATTAGAGGCATGAGCCACCGTGCCCGGCCCCACCTTCCACATCCTTGGCAGGGGGGCTGCCTCACTCCCTGTCACCCCTTAGCCAGGTGTGGCCTTGCCTTCGCTCAGCCCAGGGGCTCAGTGGGGCCCTTTCCTCGTGTCTAATTCATCCCAGGAGTCTGCGCCCAAGGTCCCCTGTGTGGCTGTTGATCCTAAATCCTATCACAGAGGGAGCTGGGCTATGCTTGGGGCCAGGAGCCTGCCAGCCCCCCAGAGCAGAATGGAGTGGGACAAAGGTGTGACCCACAGGCTGAGGCTGCTCAGCTCAGCCAGCCTCCTCCCAAGTCCACTTCCTCCCCCATGTGGTCATTTTCTCTAGGACAGTCTTGGCCTCTGTATTGGAAGATGGCCTGGGAGGACCAGGTGGGACTTGGTGTATGTGAGCATGTGATTCAAGGATTGGGGACAGTCTTGGAGGGTTAGGATTGGTTGGTGATCAGAAGACCAGCTGAGAATACCTGTGCCCTGTGGGGAAGCTCCTAGTGACGGTGTTTAAGAGGAGCACGTCCTCACTTCCTGGTTCTGAAGGCCACTGGGAGCCGGTCCTCCTGATGCGCCCAGCCCTTCCCTCCCCAGCACTAAGGCCGGCATTTCCAGCCTGGACTTCAGAGCAGCCCTGAGGAGCAGGGAGGGCGCCTCACTCAGTTGTGTCTGACCCAGCATCCAAATCCAGTGTGAGAGTGGCTGGGGCTACAAACCCCACTCACTGCCTTGGGGTTTGTACCGCCCCAGCCTCAGAGTGGGGTTAGGATTTCTTTGTGTTCTAGCAGATACGCCAGGACTTGGTGATTCAGCTTACTTCCCAGCCCAGTGCCCCTAGACTCCTTTTCCCCAGGGTGCCTCGTTTGGATGGAGCTTCCACATTGGCTTCTTAAAGGCCAGGGGTGGGCGGCTCTTGGTCTTTCGCGGCCACCCCTCCCCACCGCTGATTCCTAGGGAGCCGCCTCCGGGAACTCAGCCAGTCATTTTCTTTGCTGTCCTCTGCCCCCAACCCAGAAATCCCATTTGCTTACTCCTCCCCACGTGTTCATGCATGACGGGGAGCGCACTTGTAAGTCTAGCTCCAACTCGGCAATGTTCTGGACACCGGGGCCACGTAGCCACGGCCGCGAGTGACAAGAGCTGACGCTGCCCCCACCCGTCCTCCGGTGGGATCCTCTCGGGCAGGATCCAGCTGTTCTCCAAAACCCCAGATAATCGAGGCGCTTACACAAAAGCTTGCGGAGCGGAGCTCCGGGGACACGCCCCGAAGGGAGAGCGCGCCCGCCCTGCCCGGAGCAGGCTCTGCAAGGCCAGGCAGGCCTCCCTGCGCGCCTGGGGGATCCTGCGGGGGCGGAGCCAAGCAGCCGCCGAGGGCTGGCACAGGCCCGAGTCTGGGTGGACCCCGCGCGCCGGCCGCAGGTGGGAGACGCTGCAGCCCTGGGCGGGCGCCCTCGCGTTCCTGCGTCTTGCTGTGAACGCGTAGACCCCGGCGAAACGCCCGTCCACTCGCCTGTCGCGGCGGCGGGGCCCCTCCGCGGGCGGGCGTGGCTCCTGCGCAGGGACCGCCCCGGCCAGCCGCCCTCCCGCTCGCCCGGCCGCCACCCAGCCCCAGCCGCCCGCCACCAGCCAGCCGGCCACCCGGCCGCCGCTCCAACCGCGGCGCCCGCCCCGCCGCCGTGCCGCTTACGGCGGAGGCCGCGCCGCGTGGTGAGCGGCCGTAGAGGGGCCTGTGCGGAGCCGCGCCCGCGGCCTCGGCTCCCCGCACTCGCCATGGCCGGCGCCGCGCCGCGGGTCCGGTACGGCGGGCTTCTGCTGCCCGCTCGGGGGCCTGGCGTCGGGCAAGCCCCGCGTGCTGTGCCACGAGGCGGAGGCCTTCCTGTCCACCGGGAGCGAGCTTGTCTACGTGTATGACCTGGAGGGCGGGCTGCTGACCGTGAGCGCCGGGCCCACGGTGGCGGGACGGGGCGGGCGGGCGGGCGGGCGGAGTCCGTGCGTGGGACGAGGAAGGGCCCAAGGCCTGCGCCGTCCGCCTGACGTCGCTGTCCTGAAACCCAGGCGGCGTACCGGTTCCCCGGCCAGGTGTGGCACCTGGAGCTCCTGGCCCCTCGCCGGGCGCTCTACGTCCTGTGCGCCGGGAAGGGCATTTACTGCTTGTCGTTGGACCACCTGAGCAGGTGAGGTGTGGGCGTGCCCCGTGCTTGTCCCAGCCCGCCCTGACGCACGGTCCAGGCCACCGTGTTGCCACCCCTGCCCTCCTCAGACATCTGACCCACATGCCCGGTTCACCTCGGGTTGGTTCAGATGAGCAGCTCATCGTCACTGCACGTGGGGGTCGTGGGCTGCCAGTGGGCCCTGGGCCTGTATTTGGAAACCCCTCGCCGGGCAGCGCCGTGTACCGGCTTTCGTGTTGGTGGTGCAGAGAGCGCTTAACAGGTGGGGTTCAGATGGTTAAGTCTGCAGCGGGGAACAGATCCTGTCCCTCAGACCCTGGTGTGTCTGGTGAGATACAGCTTTGGGGGGAGGGTGTCTAGAAAGGGGAGGACAGCCTGTGGTTGTAGCCGCAGGGAAGGCACCGTGAGCCTGAGTCAGTGATTAGCAGAGGCTATCTGTGTCTGAAAGAAGTGAGCACTGGGCAGCGGGGCCCCTGTCCCCAGCACGGAGCCCAGACCGTGCACCAGCTGACTATGGGCCTATGACACAGAACGGTGGTGCGTGCACCTCTTCGTCTGGGCCTCAGAGTTGGGCAGTTCTGTGCTGAGCAGACTTGTCTGTTCAAACCCTGCTTTGGAAGCCTGGGTACTTCCTGTCAAGCGTGTCTTCCGTGGACCAGTGCAGAGTGGAGTCCGGGGGCAGGTGGGAGGAGGCGTGGCAGACTGGGTTACTGTGGAGACCCTAAAGATCAGTCCCTGTTAAGACCTCTGACCCTACCTGGTCCACTCCAGGTTGTCATGGAAAGAATGCGTGTCCCCCACCCTGCCCACTCCTGACCAGCGGTTCCCTTGTTCTCAAAGGTCTACGAGCCAGGACGATGGGGACAGTGAGGACGGTGAACTCCCTTCCTCTGTGGTCCCCGTGGGCCCCGATGCCTGCGTGCTCCCCGACGCCTCGCTGTGCGCGTTCACCGTGCTTGATGGCACGCTTGTCACCCTGGCGCAGGGCCCTACCCAGTGGAAGATACAGCTGTTTGAGCGTCCCTGTCCAGGGGAGGACCCCCAGCCGGGAGGCCAGATTGGCGAGGTAGAGTTGTCCACCTACACCCCCCCGGCTGGCGTCCCAGGGAAACCTGCAGACCCCTGCTTCCTCCCAGTGCTGTGCTGCGTGTCACCACCAGCCTCTAGGGTCCCACATGGCCACCTCTGGGGCTCCGGGAGCTTCACACTGAAGGAGGCCCTCTTTGGGCTCCTCTTTGGAGCCGATGCCACCCTCCTGGAGTCACCTGTGATCCTCTGTGGCCTCCCTGATGGCCAGCTCTGCTCTGTGGTCCTGAAGGCCCTGGTCACCTCCAGGTCAGCCCCCGGCGATCCAAAGGCCCTTGTCAAGATCCTCCATCACCTGGAAGAGCCTGTCATCTTCATAGGGGCCCTGAGGACAGAGCCGCAAGCTGAGGAGGCTGCGGAGGAGATGCCGCCTGGCGAGGATGTGCACTCTGACTGCCTGGTGGCCCTTGGGCACTATGGCCGGACGCTTGCCATCAAGGCCAGCTGGGACAAAGCTGGGAATCTGGTGCCGGAGCTGCGGGAGTACTGCCTCCCGGGCCCGGTGCTCTGCGCCGCCTGCGGTGGGGGTGGCCGCGTGTACCACAGCACCCCTTCAGACCTCTGTATGGTGGACCTTGCTCGGGGCAGCACCCCCTCAGACCCCACGCAGCCCGAGGAGGGCCCGGGAGGCCTTCCCCCTCTGCTGTGCCCAGCCAGCCTGAGCGCCTGTAGCGTCGTCACTCTGTCTGTGTCGTCTAGGGCTCCTGAAGGTACGAGCGGGCGTTCAAACGCGAAAAACTGAAACCTTGGGTGGACCCTCCTTGTGGCTGTCTTTTCTCCCGGGAATGGGCTTGTTGTGTTGTAAACCTGGCGGGTGCAGGCTCATCCCTGCCCGGCACAGCCCAGTGGTCAACTCACTCCTCGTTTTGGTGAGGTGTGTCAGGGAGTGGCTGGTTGTGCATGTCCTGCGTGGGTTCGGGGCTCTGGCCCTTGGCCGGTCACAGACTCAGAGCTCACTGCGTCTGCACGACCCAGCCCGAGAGCGTCTCTCCCCGACGGGTCTTAACACAGTGAATCGTCCAGGGAAACTCAAGTCTGTTCAGGTCAAGAACTTTATATGTTTTCTGAAGGCTAGAAAACACCTGCCCTGATCGATCCCTGTGTGGCCTGCGTAGGAGCCCGCCCTGGACTAGAGGCAGGTGGCATCACGGAGCTCCAGCTTTGTGTATTTTTCCCCAGACAAAGCCAGAGAGGTTTGCCTGATGTTGGGGTGAGAAGAATAGAACCACCCTCCCCCCACTGTATTTTCCCATTGGCATGGGCTCTGAGTTTGCTAATAAACCTTGCCGTGGAAAATATTCAACGAGAGAAATGCTTTGAAGGGAAAAGCCAGGCTTTCCAGCACAGGCAGAGAGGGACACAGGTGTCGGGAAGGTGCGTGTGAGCCGACGGGAGCCTGGAGGTCAAGGGCAGGCAAATTGTCCACAAGGGAATAGACCCTTTGTCTTGGGGGCCTTTTCCTCACTCAGACATTTGTCCTGGAGCCCGGGGAAACCCTGCCAAGCGTTGAGCAGGCCCCATGTGTGTCCGTCACCAGGTGACACCGAGCTCCTGGCCCTGTCTGCCAAAGGCCGCCTGATGACCTTCAGCCTGGACTTGAACTCCGAGGTGCCCGGCCTTTCTGCGGTGAGCAGGGCTGACACAGGCCAGAAAATTAAGGAATTGCTCTCTGGAATCGGCAACGTGTCCGAGAGGTGAGCGGCTGGGCTGTGGCTTGGGCAGCGGCTGGCTCTGCGGCCCTCAGGAGGTGGCATCCAGGTGGCACTGTCCTCTGGTCTCAGCATCTTCCGGTGGGGGGACGATCCCAGGTGCTGAGGGTCTGCACCAGGCCAGTGCTGTGCCTCTGGCTCCCCGTCGAGAGCCCCGGATGTCGCGTTGCTTGGCGACGGGCTGCCTCTGGAAGGTGGAAGGGCTCCCCTTTCTCAGTCGGCTCCCCCACACCCTCCCCCAGGTGGGGCCAGGGGTAGTTCCCGGGCCATTCCACACCCTCCCTGTCGCACACCCTTCCTTGGAGGCCCTGTCCTCCACAGGGGTCCAGCAGGCTGTTCCTCCCACCCCTCGGTGCCGGCCCTCGGTGCTGTCCAGAGGGAACATGAAGGCTCCCCTGCCCCGCCCCTCCCAGCTGCTGTGGTCATAAGAGCAAGCGTCCTGCAGACGCCAGGTTCCCGTGGCTGGGACTGTTCCCACAGTGCCTGCCACCCCCACCGACCCTGGGGAGGCTGCAGAGAATAAAAGATGCTAACTGGGGACTTGTGGGGGCGCCTAGGCTGGGGGTACTGCCAGCCCTGTCACCTCCTGGCCCCCAAACGGCACGGTGGGCGCGCTGGGCCCAGGCACAGCACCAGCCCCGTCTCTGTCCTTCCGCCTGTGTTCCCAGAGGACAGGCTGGGTCGGCAGCTGAAGGCAGCCTCGAAAGGGCTGGGGGGACAGGGAGAGGGATGCACCCCCGGGGCCGGGGCTCGCACTGGAGGGGGGCTCATGCGCCTCACGTGCTTGTTAGGGGACCAGGTTCCTCACCCCACCTGCTCTGGGAGTCCGGCCGTGGCACCCACTGCTGGGGGTCCCCTCCCCGCCCCCGCCACGCCTGTCCTTTGCAGAGTGTCCTTTCTAAAGAAAGCGGTTGACCAGCGGAACAAGGCCCTGACGAGCCTCAACGAGGCCATGAACGTGAGCTGCGCACTGCTGTCCAGCCGGGAGGGCCCCAGGCCCATCTCCTGCACGACCACTGCGGCCTGGAGCCGCCTGCAGATGCAAGACGTGCTGACGGCCACCTGCCTGCTGGAGAACCGCAGCGCCTTCCACCTGGGCCAGGGCTGGACCCTGTGCGTCCAGGTGCTCACCAGCTGCTCCGCCCTGGACCTGGACTCGGCCGGCGCGGCCACCACCTACACCATCCCCGTGGACCAGCTCGGCCCCGGCGGTCAGCGGGAGGTGACGCTGCCCCTGGGCCCTGGCGAGAACGGCTCCTTCGACCTGCCCGTGACCGTGTCCTGCACGCTCTTCTATAGCCTCAGGGAGGTCGTGGGCAGGGCGCTTGCCCCCTCGGACTCTTTCGAGGAGCCCTTCCTGGACGAGGAGCCCCCCGACGTCCTGCCTGAGCAGGAGGGCATCTGCCTGCCCCTCAGCAGGCACACGGTGGACCTGCTGCAGAGCCTGCGCTTCCCCGGCCTGGCCCCGCCCTGCACGCAGGCCCCGCCCCTGCGCGGCCCTGCGGACCCCGTGGACACCTTCCTGGAAGCACGTCGGGAGCCCGGCAGCCACCCCTCGGGCCCTGCCTCCCTGCGGGCTGCGTACCTGCCCCCGTCAGTAGCCTGCATCAAGGTGTCGGCCGAGCTGCTCAGGGCTGCGCTGGAGGACAGCCGCGCAGGTTGGTGGCACTGCCTGGCCCACGCTGGGCGTGGTCGTTCCTCTCCCCCCGGCAGGCCGGCGCTCTGCTGAGGAGGCGAGCGTGTGTCTCGCCCTGTTCCCGTCTGCGCCCTGTTCACTGCTGGGCCCGGCGCCTGTCGCTTTCCTGCCACAGCTTTCCTTTAAACTGTGCTTTTTATAGACCTATGTGTAGAAACGTGACCTAAATACAGGGAAGTAGAGCTGTCGCAAGGGAACAGCTGGGTGAGTTTTCGCAGTGAGCACCAGGGCGCCGGCGCTGCGGCCTCCAGAGCCCCCGGCCGGCCTGCTGGGCTGTTGCCGAGCCGTGCACAGCACGCCAGCGCACCCGCGCCGGGCCTTTTCTCCTACCATGCACATGACACCCTTTGTGTCGCGTGGCCCGTGGGTCTCGTGGCAGGATTGGGTCCTGTTGCAAGTGCTGCTGCTGTTCTGCAGGTGGGGATTCGGGGAGCTTCTGGGTTTGGGCTTGTAGGAGGGGCGGCTGCAGCCGTCCCCGTGGGCGTGTGTGGCGCCCGCTCTTAGGGTCGGCCCGGGAGCACTGGCAGGTCCTCCCCTTGGTTAAGTGGAACATCCCACCCCCCTTCCGCTGGCCAGCTGGCCACGCCCCTTGCCCGGGTGGGGCCGAGGGCAGCTCTCCGAGGGGCACTTTGGGGCAGCCCCCCAGACGGATGCCCACATGGCAGGACCTGCGCGAGCTCCCAGCCGGCGCCTCTCCCCCAGGGCTGCCCCTGTGCTGCGCCACCCTGCGGTGGCTCCTCGCCGAGAACGCCGCTGCGGACGTCGTGCGGGCCCGGGCCTTGTCCTCCGTCCAGGGAGTGGCCCCAGATGGTGCTGACGTCCACCTCATCGTCCGCGAGGCAAGCAGGGGCCACTCCCCCGTCCTGGGGAAACCGCCTTGACGCCAGCAGTTCTGATGGGGCCCCTGGGGTGGCAGGAGTCGGGTCACGGCCCCGCCCAGACCAGCCCACCATGGGGGTCGGGCCCAGGGGTCTGCTCCTGAGCTTCCCCCCCATTCGGTGTGGGGTCCCCCCTACACCCGAGCAAACCCCCTCAGGCGGGTCCCCGTGAAGAACAGCGGTTGTCCAGCACTGTCCCCCACAGGTCCCCTGTCCCTTAGCAAAGTGGCTCCCACCCGCCGCTGGGGAAGGGTGTGTCCCCAGGAGGGATCCGGCACCAGCCCTCGAGCCACTGGGCCACCAGAGGGTGCCACCTAAAGGGGCTGCCTGTCCCCAGCCCGCCCTTGCACACCTGCCCCACTGCCCCGGTCACCTCCTGCTGACCCTCCCGTCCCACCACAGAGCTTCCTCAGAGTAGCCCGGGCTGCCAGGCACCTGTGTGAGGCTGCCCGGGGTCTGGGGTCTGCACTTGGAGTGAAGCCTCGGCCCCTTCCCCTGGGTTTCTTGGCCTTGCTGCCACCCACCCCCACCCCCACCCCCACCCCCACCCCTCAGGCCAGGCCAGAGTCGAGGTCAGGACATCCCTGGGCCCTGGTGTGGGGTCTGGTGGTGCTTGCAGCCTGTGGACATCTTTCCCGAGCTCCCAGGCCCAGGTCCTGCCTCGTGTCCTGGGTGTGGGGAACCTGCCAGGCCTCCTGGCTTCGGCCTGCCCTGGCCCGGTTTGGCCGTCTGCTCAGCAGTCTCAGCCTCCGAGGGACGCTTGGCTGGCCCAGAGATGGGCCCGGCCGCTCCTCTGTTCCACCAGAGCCCTGGCCCTGCCGTCGGGGTCTGTGGGCCCAGTGTGGGTGGGCCGCTGTGCAGTGAGCTCTTGCGGGCGGGGCCGGGTGTGTGGTCTGGGGACAGGTGGTGCAGTGGCCACTTCATTCTGCAGCAGCCCCAGTCTGGCTCACGCAGGGCTCGAGCCCCACGGGTCTGGATTCCGAGGGAGCAGGGGTCTTCCTGGACGCATCTGTCTCCAAATGAGCAGATCTCCTGCCGTTGGTGGCCGGCTGGGAAGACCCAGGGCAGGGCAGTGGGGCCCCGTGTGCTCAGGTGTGGGAGGCGCCGTGGAGCCTGAGCCGCCGTGGGCAGTGGGGCCGTGGGCGGGCGGTGAGGCCCCTCCTGTGTTGCAGGTGGCCGTGACCGACCTGTGCCTGGCGGGGCCCATCCAGGTCGTGGAGATTCAGGTGGAGAGCTCCTCCCTGGCCGACGTGTGTCGGGCCCACCACGCTGTCATCGGGCGCATGCAGGTGCGTCGGCCGGTGTGGCCTTGCCTGGGAAGGGGGCTCTGAGGGCTGTGGGCAGCTCTCGGAGTCCCCGTGTAGGACTGTGCAGCTGCTGCCCGTGGGGACCGCAGCCACCTGCCGGGGAGCTGTGGGAAGAGCCCCCTCCGCTCTGCTGCCGCGGGCAGTGCTGTGCGGTCGAGTCGTGGGCAGCTGGGAGCCCTCCCACGGGCAGAGGCCACCCCCCAGCTGTGCCGTTGGACCCCAGTGGGCACCCTCAGGTCCGAGGGCGACCTGGCCCACGTGGCCGATGGATTTCTGTGCCCAGACGTACAGGGAACAGTGGCTCTGCCCCAGCCCTGGCGGGCAGTGCCAGCTGCCTTCATGTATGCGGGTACCACTCGAGAGCCCAGACGGTCGGTGGCAGTGAGCATGTCCGGTCACACAGTGCTGTGACCCCACCTCATTTGGAGCCGTGACCCCATCACGGCCCTGGTGACCTCATGACGCAGTGCCGTGACCCCAGCAGCTCCTCACGCGGAACCAGGACAGGCTGCCCGACCTCGAGTCAGGAGCCGGCAGGTGGTCCCCAAGGCAGCGCTGCCCATCGGGGGCTCTGTCCGTGAGCCGCCCGGTCCCCGGAACATTCCTGTCCTCTGCGGAGAGCAGAGCTGCAGCCCCTGCAGTGCGTCCAAGTCTCTCTCGAGGAGAGGCCACCCCAGCGCCCCTCTCTAAGCACAGGCGCGCTCTGACGGGCTGGGCGAGGACTTTCACTTGGAGTGTCGGGGGCTCGGGTCAGCCACAGGGAGTCTCCTGCTGCCGCTGCCGCCTCCGTGGGAATTTCTCGGCGTGGGCTGCGGACCTGTGTGTCCTCCCACGTCAAGACACTGCCCAGGCCGGGCGTGGTGGCTCACACCTGCAATCCTAGCACTCTGGGAGGCCGAAGAGGGAGGATTGCTTGAGGTCAGGAGTTTGAAACCAGCCTGAGCAAGAGTGAGACCACCATCCCTCTACAAAAAATAATAGAAGTACCCACAAACTAAAACTATTAAAAGATAGCCGGCATGGGCACATGCCTGTAGTCCCAGTTAGCCTGGGAGTCTGAGGGCAGGTGATCACTGGCCCAGGGGTCTTTGAGGTTGCTGTGATTAGCTGACACCCCGGCACTCTTACCAGCAGTAACAGACGCATACGTTGTCTCAAAAAGAAAAAAGGAAATAATGGTCCACTAAAAATATTAGAAAAAATAGCCGGGCATGAGGGCCATGCCGGTAGTCCACTACTCGGGAAGGCTGGGCAGGGAGGTCGTCTTGAGCCCAGAGTTTGAGGTTGCTGTGGAGCTAGCCAACGCCACGCACTCTACCAGCAACAGACTGAACGATTGCCTCAAAAAAAAAAAAAAAAAAAAAAAGATGCTGCCCAAACAGCGGGGAGCATTCTCGAGACAACCCACTGGACCGCAGCCCAGGGTTTTCAAGGCCCTGTCAGATGGGCTGCATCGCCCTTGAGCCAGCACTTCCTGGGGCCCCCGCAGCTGCTGCCCCTCGGGGTGTCGAGGCCGAGGGTCTCTTTTCAGCCACTTTGCCCAGCGGGGCTTTGCTTACTCCCTGGAAAGGCCTGCAGGGGCCTCGCTGTCCAGACCCGTTTGGGAATTAAGATCTGAGCCCGGGGCCTGGCTGGGCTTCCTCAGAAAGCGGAGCTGCCCACGCGCCCCACGCTGGCCGTGCAGGGTGCACGCAGCCCTGCCCAAGGCCCAGCAGGGAGCGGCGGGCAGGGTGGGTCTGGATCTGGGCCGGGGCGACTCTCTGGGCCTGGGGAGAGTCGGGCAGTGGAGGGGAAAGAACCCAACAGAAATCCACCTCCAGGTACTGTCGGGCCGGGGCTCCTGCCCCGCTGCCCCGGAAGGAGGGGACAACAGCAGAGTGGAAACGGCAACGGGTGAGGGAGCTGGCGAGGAGTTAACGGAGGGCCAGGCAGGGAGGCCGAGGCAGAGGGTCTCGGGAGATAGAGGCAGAGAGTCACCTGCTCTGAGGGGCGTCGGGGACGGCACCAGGGCCCTGCCAGCCTCCGGACGTGGCGCCTCGGGGCGGGTGGCGGGAGCTCCCTCTCCAGCGTCCCCGCCCTGTGTCCCACAGACCATGGTCACGCAGCAGGCCGCCCAGGGCTCCAGCCCCCCCGACCTCCGGGTGCAGTACCTCCGCCAGATCCACGCCAACCACGAGGTGAGGCGCCTGCCCCCTGTGCAGCCCCTGCCACCCTGGGTCTCGGGGGCGGCCCGGTCCCCGGCCCCTCTGCAGACCGTGCTCGGATGTCGCCCAGCCCAGCGGGGCCCACGGGGTGCTCACCAGGCACTCCCGGGACTGGTCGAGTCTGTCTCCTGCCTTGCTTCGCCTACCTCGGGCTGGGCCCTGGGCCGGGCCGCATGTCCCCCGTTTTAAGGTCACAGACGAATATTCTTCCTTGGGCCACCAGCCACCTCCCAAGCATGATTTTACGCAGGGAGAGGGTCGGGCCTGACTGTGGCCGCCCCACCTGCAGGCGCTGCTCCGGGAGGTGCAGGCGCTGCGTGACCGGCTGTGCGTGGAGGACGAAGCCAGCTCCTGCGCCACTGCCCAGCGCCTCCTGCAGGTGTACAAGCAGCTGCGCAACCCCAGCCTCGTCCTGCTGTGACCAGGTGGGCCCAGCCCCCGCACCCGCCCCGTCCACACTGCCCCCCTTCTCTCTGACACCCTCGGTGCCTCTGGTTTCACAGGGAAAAACCGGAACACAACCGGCTGCTTTACCGCTCTGGGCTCGGGAAGCGCTCGGCCTGGCCGGAGCCACGGAAGGTCCGCCGGACGCGCAGGGAGCGCCTGTGGATTCCGTCGTGAGCAGCTGAGGCGGGTTCTGGGCCCCGCCGGTCCTCCCGCCTGGCTCCCTGCCCTCCTCGTCACCTCTTCCTCCCAACAGCGGGTGCAGCATGGCCCCGGCCGTCTCCCCACCCTGAGCCACAAGTCCCAGGCCCTTCTGGACTCTGGGCCCGGGAGCCCAGCGAGAAGCGGTGTCTGGGGTTGGGGCTCAGGGTGGGTTTGTGACCGTGCTGTCACTGTTGCTGCTACTGCCAAGCCGGCCCACGGACCCTCGTCCACCGTCCACGCCTGCCCAGCTGCCCACGCTAGGGTCACCGAGGGTCCGGGGCGCCCCATGACCAAAGCACAAACGCCACGCGGGGCTCCTGTGGGTGCCATCCGTGGGCCGTGGCCAGAAAGCTCAACAACCAGGTGCCTCTGCCGGGGCTGCGCGTCTGTGTGGCCGCGCCCCCGCCGCCTCCCCGCGGTGCTGCTCTTTTACTCTCTGGGGAGGGACGACTGTGCCTCCCTGTCCCCGCCGGTGCTCTGGCCACCCTGTGACACACAGACCCTGTCACACACTCCCATGACACACAGCCGTGACACATGTGCTTCTCTGCCGTGACAAACAACCCGTCTGTTGAACTTCAGGCCTTGGCTGGTTTTTTGTCCCCTCGCCGCCAGGGCCTGGTGGGGGCCCCGCCACCCTCCTGGGCTCTGGGCTCCCGCCAGAGCCGCTGCACCACTCAGGGCCCCCAGCACCGGGGTGCCGCTCCTAAGAAGCAGCGATCCCTGAAGTGGCCATTAGTCCCAGCAAGGGCTGCTCCTGGTGTCCGTGGGAGGACCTCAGCCACCCACCTGTCCCCACACTGCCTTCACCCCACAGAGGGCGGGGGGCCGCCGGGGTGCTGAGCCAGGGCGTGTCTCCCTCTCAGAGGGAGGACCGGGTGGGGCAGGCCCACTTGCGACGCTGCAGGCTCCACCAGCCGCCCTCGTAGGGTCCCGCGTGTGCTGGGAGGACAGCCTGCCCCGGCCGCGCCATACCTGCGCCGACCCTCAGCCTGGCCCGCAGCTGCACCTGAGGGCCAGCGGTCGCCTCCCCAGGCGGGAGCCGCCGGCTCCGACCACTGTGCGGTGCCTGTGCCCATACCTTGCTCCCAGCAGCACGGTTGGGGGATGGGGTGGCCAGGCCAGCCGGAGTAGGGGACTTAAGAGCAGACGCGCCCTTGCTGAGCCGGCAGAGGGCCACACGTGCAGGGCCAGCGTCTTCCTGCCTCGGGGACGCTGATGTGTCCGGGGCCACGTACTGGCTTCTGCGGGACCTGACAACCCAAGGTGCCCCCCACCCGGCATCGCAGCCCATCCGATCTCAGAGCTGACAGATCTGGGTCGCCTTCGGGGCCGGCCTACGCAGGCCCCCGCAGGATGCCAGCAGGTCCAGGGGCCCAAGAGCCAGAGGGGACATCCCACGGGACCGCCATCTGCCCCTCGGCCCAGAGAGCGTGGCGCCCAGCGGGGCGGGGCACCAGCGTGGCACCGGGACGTGCAGACACCACATGAGCTCTCTGGGCTCCAGGGGGCCGATTTGCCGCTCGGCGCTCCGAGAGCCAGCCAAGCGTCCCACCGCACAGCTCTGGACCCGAGGCCCAGGCGGCTACTCCAGCCGTCCTGACCTGTCGGGGCGCTCTCTGCGGCGGCCTGTTTGAGGCATTAGTGCTGGTCTGTTTGGAAAGCGGTCGCCTTCTGGCTCTGGAGGAGTCAGAGAAGCAAAGGACAGTCTTCCACTGGCCTGATGCCCTGCCCCAGGGGGCACCGGACAGCGGCCCTGGGGGACAGACCCAGGTGAAGGAGGCACTGTGTGGTGTCCAGGAAAGAAAAGCTGCCAACACGCACCCGCAAGAAGCCAAGAGAGCAGGTGGAGTGGAGCAACGGACAAGAAGGCTGGCTGAGGGCAGGAAGGGGTCACAGGTGACCTCAACCCAGCGAGGACGCAGAGTGTCGGGGACCTGGGTGAAGCCATTTCCGGGAGACACACTCCCAACACCAGCCCAGGCTTCGGGGGCCAGCACGGTGTGCAGGGGCCTGTGCGCCCCGGGCCTCCCCTCACCTGCTCAGGTGCGCTGGCCTCCCAGGCACGAGGAGCCTGGAGCTCAGGCTGTGTGAGGCCCTCCCCGGTGGCAGGGACACCAAGAGGGAAGGCAGGGCCTGGTGGCCGAGGAGGAGCCCAGCAAAGGCCTGGAGGTTTGTCCACCTGCTCTGGCTCGGGGCCTGGCCTGACACTGTGTCCTCCTAGTGCCTCAGCCCGGTCCCAGGTGGGGCAAGAGCAGCACCTCTCACCCAGCCCCAGACAGCTGCCGGCCGCCCCAATCTGAGCTCTGCCCCTTGCACATAGTGTCCACCCACCTCAGCCCCTCCCTTGCCCAGTCCTGGCCTGTATTCCTGGTTCCAGGGGGGTCTGTTGCCCCCCACACACACCACCCTGGGAGTACTGTCACCTCTGCCTCCAGCCGCTGCCCTGGGTTCCTGAGGTTCCCGCCAGCACATGGACCAGCAGGGCCTTGCAGGGTGACCCTCTGCTGAGCGGGGTAGCCTGGAGGCCACAAGCTCCAGCCACCTTGGTTCTGCCTGCTGCCCCAGCCTTGGCCACCACCAGAGGACACTGTAGGCCACCTGTCCATCATGCCTGCTGGGGCTAACTGAGACCTGCCTAGCCATGTGACTCACACTGGACTTTTGTTCCTAAAGCTGGTGGGCTGGGGGAGGGGGAGGTCCTGGCTGCTTCCTGGCCTCGGCCCCACCTCCCCAGAGCCCTCTGTGCACCCCCTCCCCATGCGCCTGACCCCTCTCCTTGAACCACGTGCAAGGGCTGGACGGGCAGCAGACCCCAGGGCAGGGACTCTGTGGCCTGAGGACACCCGTGTTGGGCTCCAGGCCTGCCGGCTGGCTCCCACCCCGGCTCCCACGTGGCTGCCTTCTGGGTGGGAGTCCCTGGGGGCTGGGAGGGGCTTGGGGAGACCGTGGCCTCCTCCACGTGCGGCCCCTGCGCACCCCCAAGCGGCGCCCCGGAGCCCACGAGCAGCTGCGTGACAAACACGGTTTAATGCGGGGCAGGCGGTCGCGCGCCCTCCCCGCGCCCTCAGTACTCCCAGAGCGCGGCCCCGGCCGGCGCGTCCGCGTCCGCGCGCAGCAGCCCCGAGGCGCCGCCGCGCAGGTATTTGCCGCTCCGGGCCCGGATGGCCACGCGGCCGCGCTCGCGGAACTCGAAGAGGAAGTCCTCGGCGCGCTCGCCGTCGCTGCACACGCTGCCGTGGCTGCCGGTGTTCCAGAACCCGCCGCGGCCTGCGGGCGGGACGGGGCGCGTCGGCGGGGGCGGGGCGCGCTCTCGGCCGCGGGTCCGGCCCGGCCCGGCCCCCCCCCCCCCCCCCCCCCCCCCCCCCCCCCCCCCCCCCCCCCCCCCCCCCCCCCCCCCCCCCCCCCCCCCCCCCCGCCGCGCACCTCGAATCTGGTACGCGCCGTCGCTGAAGCTCAGGTGGAAGACGTCGTAGACCGAGCGGTTGGTGTCCAGCTGGTTGGAGCCGCGGCGGTGGCAGACGAAGCCGTCCAGGCCGCGCAGCACCAAGATGGGCCGGTTGATGAGCTTGAGGGTGAACTCCTCGTCCTTGCCTGGGGGGACAGGGCGCTGCTGGGCCCCCTCCGCCACCTTCCCTGTCCAGGCTCCCTCTGGCGGAGTCCCCAGGAAGCGCCACAGCCCGGACTCGGGCACCCAGCGTGGGGGCCAGGATCTGCCATTGCCCCGTGTGCCACCTTGGCCAGGGTCCCGCCGCCACAGAACCCCGGGGGTCCCCGAATGCACAGTGGAGACACAGGGGCTCTGGGATCTAAGTGCTCCCCTAACGTCAAGGCTGATTTTCTCAGCCAGCAAGCGACTCTTGCCATGACTGCAGCAGTTCTGTGGGGAGGGCCGTGTCCAGCCCACCGCACTGTCCTTGGGTGGAGAGCCCACCCCGGCCCCGCCCCGGGCGGGCACGGAGGCTCACCCACGAAATCGCTGATGGCCGCCAGCTGCCCGTTCTTCTTCATGCACACGTAGCGCCCATTGCTGGCCTTGAGTGCCACCCTCCGGCCGCGCCACTCCATCTCAAACATGGTGTTGGCAGAGCTGGAGGGAGCAGGGCAGGTCCCCTTAGAGCAGCAGGAGATGGGGCGCAGGGTCCGGCTCCCCATCCCCCTCAGGCTCCACCATGTGAGACAGGAGCCTACCCTTCACGGACACACCCTCCACCATTAGGAGCTGCCCTCCACCCAGGGGGCGCGCCCCCGACTGGGCTGCCACAGTGGTCCTCACGGTGGAGGTGGTGATGGTGGAGCTGATGGTGTTGGTGATGGTGGAGATGATGGTAATGGTGATAGTTGTGGTGATGGTGGTGGTGGAGGTGATGGTGATGGTTGTGGTGATGGTGGTGGTGGAGGTGATGGTGTTGGTGATGGTTGTGGTGATGGTGGTGGTGGAGGTGATGGTGATGGTTGTGGTGATGGTGGTGGTGGAGGTGATGGTGGTGATGACAGTGATGGTGATGGTTGTGGTGATGGTGGTGGTGGAGGTGATGGTGTTGGTGATGGTTGTGGTGATGGTAGTGGTGGAGGTGATGGTGATGGTTGTGGTGATGGTGGTGGTGGAGGTGATGGTGTTGGTGATGGTTGTGGTGATGGTTGTGATGGAGGTGATGGTGATGGTGGTGGTGATGGAGATGATGGTGGTGGTGGAGGTGATGGTGATGGTGGTGGTGATGGTTGTGGAGATGATGGTGGTGGTGGAGGTGATGGTTGTGGTGATGGTGGAGATGATGGTGATGGTGGTGGTGGAGGTGATGGTGATGGTGGTGGTGATGATAGTGATGGTGGAGGTGGAGGTGATGGTGTTGGTGATGGTTGTGATGGTGGTGATGGTTGTGGTGATGGTGGTGGTGATGACAGTGATGGTGGTGGTGGAGGTGATGGTGATGGTTGTGGTGATGGTGGTGATGATAGTGATGGTGGTGGTGATGGTGTTGGTGATGGTTGTGATGATGGTGGTGGTGGAGGTGATGGTTGTGGTGGTGGTGGTGGTGATGACAGTGATTCTGGTGGTGGAGGTGATGGTGATGGTTGTGATGGTGGTGGTGGAGGTGATGGTGTTGGTGATGGTTGTGGTGATGGTGGTGGTGGTGGAGGTGATGGTTGTGGTGATGGTGGTGGTGATGACAGTGATGGTGGTGGTGGAGCTGATGGTGATGGTTGTGGTGATGGTGGTGGTGATGATAGTGATGGTGGTGGTGGAGGTGATGGTGTTGGTGATGGTGGTGGTGGAGGTGATGGTGTTGGTGATGGTGGTGGTGATGACAGTGATGGTGGTGGTGGAGGTGATGGTGTTGGTGATGGTTGTGGTGATGGTGGTGATGACAGTGATGGTGGTGGTGGAGGTGTGATGGTGGTGGTGGAGGTGATGGTGTTGGTGATGGTTGTGGTGATGGTGGTGATGACAGTGATGGTGGTGGTGGAGGTGATGGTGGTGATGGTTGTGGTGGAGGTGATGGTGATGGTGGTGGTGATGATGGTGATGGTGGTGGTGGAGGTGATGGTGTTGGTGGAGGTGATGGTGGTGGTGATGGTGTTGGTGGTGATGATGGTGATGGTGGTGGTGGAGGTGATGGTGGTGGTGGAGGTGATGGCGGTGGTGATGGTGTTGGTGGTGATGGTGGTGGTGATGATGGTGATGGTGGTGGTGGAGGTGATGGTGATGATGGTGGAGGTGGTGGTAATGATGGATAGTGGTGCAGGTGGTGGCAGAGGCGGGGACAGGTACACTCACACTTGTGTGGCTGTGGCCAGAATGCCCCCGTGGGTGACCAGAGTCCAGTAGCCCCCAGTGCTGGAATAGAAGGTACACTTCTTTGTCTCCCGATCAATCTGCATCAGGAAGGTCTCATGGTCCATTTCTTCATCCTGATTGGCTGAGACGTTGACTCCTAGAGGGAGGAGATGGGGAAGCCCCTCACTCCTCTCCTGGGACAGTAGGGAATGGGGTGGCATGCTTTTGGGGCACCCCTAAAGCCAGGGTGTCTCGTCTAGAACCCTCCTGACTTGAGATTTGGAAGGGACCTCTCAGAGGGCCTGGGAGCCCTGCCTCCAGGACCACATGTGCACTTTGTGGACTCTGCACACGGCTCCAAGGGACCCTTGACCTGGCTCTCGCCAGGGCCCCAGCACCAGCCCTTCTGCTCTGGCAAATCCCCCACTCTCTGCTAAGCAGGTAATCTGCTTGCTCCTACTTTCTTGACCCAGGACTTACAGAAGCCTCTATTTATAGCTCACCCCTAAGCTGCTAGGTGGGCATGGTGGGGTCTCTGTCCTTCCCCACGCCATGGCCCAAGTCACAGCCAGGGCCAAGGGACCACCCCTGGGCACCAGGCGGGGGCTGGCCCCCTGTTACCTCTGTGGCCACCCCCACCACTTGTGCTTGGCCTCCCAGGAGCTCTGGGGAAAGACAGGCTGCCCAGGGCTCTGTGTGGGGTTCCGAGGGGGCAGAAGGGGTACCCATGCCCAGGGTGGGGAGCAGCAGGCACAGGAGTCTCCCCAGTTTCTTCCCATAAACCCAGTTCTGGCTCCCTCTGAGAAACCACATCCCTGTTTCCATGGCAGCCGGCCACTCTGAGTGGTGTGACAGATTGTAGAGCCCCCCACGAGGCCCAGGGGCTCCTGGTGTAGTGTCTAGCTGGGGGAGAGGGCCTGAGGGTGAGGGCCAGACCTGCCCCGGCGCTGCCCCCAGGGAAGGGAGGGCGCCAGGCAGTGACCCACAGTGGGGGGGTGGGATATGCTGTCCTTCCCCAGCTCCCCATGGCCGGCTGGCCCTCCACCCCCCAGGTGGGGTCTCCCCTCTTACACGGTGACTGCTCAGGTGCAGAGAAGCGGCCGTGTGTGCCCTGGGAGGCAGCTCAGTGTTACACCACCACCCCCCACCGCCAGCGCCATCTCCCCACAACAGGTACTGAACCAAGTGAGCAGCTGCCATGTCCCCGGCCCAGGCCCAGGGTCAGCAGCGAGCAAAACAGGCACGGCGCCCAGAGTCCACAGGAGCCACGAGCACCGGGCCCTCTGGGCCGCTTGCACGCCGGCGAGTGCCGTGGCGTGGCGAGGCGACCACGGAGAAGGTACACGCAAGACCCGAGGGAGGAGAGCCCAGTCCCTGCAGGTGATGAGGAGGAGCCAGGTCAGAGCTCCTGGGCTGGGCGCGCCACACAGCACCTCGCGTGGCTTGGCCGCCGCCACGACCCCCCGGGCTGTGCTGTCAGTGTGACCCCGCATTTCCTCCATACGCCTCCTTCAGACAGGAAGCCACCCAGGCGTCCTCCCACGCAGCCGTCTGCTTCTGGGGCCTGGCCTCTCGGGCAGGCGCGGGGGGAGCCCACACCGGGCTGGGCCATGAGGGTTTCGCCCCGTCCTGGGGGGCTGGTTGAGCAGTTGGGGGGTGCCTTTGTTCTGGCCAACGAGCGTGAAGAAGGGTCTGCTAGGATTTGGGGACAGAAGTTCTTACTGCTGAGAAGAGAGGCAGAGCCGGAGCCTCTTTTTCCTGTGGACCCTGTCCTGCCTGGATGTGGAGCCCGAAGCAGCAGCAGCCGCTTTGTGACCAGGAAGGTGTCGGCCTGAGATCAGAGCTGACCCCAGAGCGGCTCAGGGAGGAGGTGAGAACGGAGGTCTCTGGCGGTGCCACTGAGCTGGCCGTGGTGTACCGCCTGCCACCACCCGTCACCACCCTCGGGGCTCCAGACTCCCATTTACAGGGGATAATCAGTGTCCTTGTCACTCAGCCAGTGTGGCCAATTCTCTGTTACCGGCCACAGCAACAGCGACGGCGGTGCTTTCTGTTGGACCACCACAGCCCTGGAGGCAGGAGTGAGCAGGCTGGGGGCAGGCAGCAGAAGAGAGCCACTGGGAGGACAAGCAGGCCAACCTGGTGCTCACAGACACCCAGGGCGAAGGAGACGGGTTTGGGGCTGCCCAGCCAGGTAGGTGACAGGAATCAAGGCACCGCCGCACGGCCCCCCACAGATGCTGTGCAGGGGTGGAGCTGCGGCCAAACCCACTGCTCCAGCTGCCTTGGAATCGGGGTGTCCCATATCCCCCCTCCGCCAGCTCTGCCTCCCCCACTGACGGGGATGCCACATCCCATTTCCTCACATCACTGGTTGCCCAGTCAAAGCCTGAAACATCTGGTGGGCTGGGTCATCCCCTCGGCGTGTTGCAAGGGAGGCAGGGGAGTGCGTGTCTGGTACCTCCAGCTGCCAGATTGGGAGGCGGGATCTGGTCCTTGGTAGGGAGTCCCCCATCAGAGGGGCAGGGGTAGCTGCAGGGTGGTCAGGAGACTGAAAAGTGGTCCATACGGCTACCACCCCCTCCACCATCACCACCATCCTGTCCCCCTCCTCCATCAGCACCACCATCACCATCATCATCATCACCATCACCACCACCATCACCATCATCATCATCATCACCATCATCATCATCACCATCACCATCACCATCACCATCATCATCACCACCACCATCACCATCACCATCATCATTACCACCATCATCACGACATCATCACTATCACCAATCACCACCATCATCATCGCCACCACCATCATCATCATCATCATCACCATTGTCACCATCACCATCACCATCATCATCACCACCATCACTACAATCACCATCATCATCACCACCATCACCACCACCATCATCACCATCATCATCACCATCACTACAAATACCATCATCATCACCACCATCATCACCACCATCACCATCACTACAACTACCATAACCACCATCATCACCACCATCACCACCACCATCACTACAAATACCATCATCACCATCATCATCACCACCATCATCACCATCATCATCACCACCATCACTACAAACACCATCATCACCATCATCATCACCACCATCATCACCACCATCACCATCACTACAACCACCATCACCATCATCACCATCATCATCACCACCACCATCATCACCATCATCATCACCATCATCACCACCACCATCATCACCACCATCACTACAACCACTGTCATCACCATCATCATCACCATCATCATCACCATCATCATCATCACCATCACCATCACCATCACCACCATGACCATCATCATAGCCACCACCACCACCAGCACAACCAGCACAACCACCACCACCACCACAGTCACTGCCACAGCCTTTACTGTCACCACTGCCATGAGTCTCTTTCACGAACCGCCCGCTTAGAACACTTGTGTCCAACGCCTTTGACCCTCGCAGAGGAAGCTCCCTCACTGCCATTGCTTCACTTAACTCATTGAACCAACTGAGGATTGCCACGCACATGGGCCTTGGCCCAGGCCAGAAAGTGGCCTGTGATGGGCAGGAACAGCTGTGGGGTGTCTGCCAAGGAACCCCAGCACCCAGCCATGTGCCAGGACAGGCGCTCACGAGGTGACTCAAGTGCCTGTCACTGCTGGACCAGCCTGAGGACCCTGGCTGCAGGCACAGCCCCCCCAGCCATGGCTGGGCATCCCGTCGGTGCTCCAGGGTGGGCCTCTGCCATCGTGGCCAGGGGCAGTAGTGTGCCCAGATCGCTAAGGGGGGCGGGGTGCCCAGGAGGCTGGATGTCCATCAGGGCAGGGGCTTGGCGGGCACATGGGAGCTGCCAGGAGGTGGGTGGCCTCCCCCTTGCCTGGTGCTGGCCTGGAGGGGCCCAGTGGGCAGGGAGGAACGCCAGGCTCCAAGGCAGCTCCTGTCTCCTCCAGCCCTTGGGGTCCCCGGGCCAGAGTGCGCCTGGCCACTCTGGGGCTCACGGAGCCAGGAGCCCAGTGGGTAGCGACTGTGAGGGAACTCGGGCTTGCCCCCAGCAGCCTGGGGCCACCCTGGGCTCCTCACGGAGAAGTAGGAACTGCCTGCTCACCCCACAGGCTGCTGAGGGAGCCCCTAGAGACAGGTGACCCGTGCCTGGGAAATGGGGAGAGACAGGCCACACCCCACTGGGGCGGAGATGGCGCCTTCCCACAGGGAGCCCGGGCCCTGGGCAGGGCCGCCTGCCCCCACTTCTGCTGGCCGTGGAGGTGACACCAAGCGCCCCATTCCTGGGGCTGCACAAGGCTCTCCCCCCTCCACCCTCTCCTGCCCCGGCCCCTCCACGACGTCCTTTAAAGTCCAGAAAGCGGGTGGAGGAGGAGCAGGGGAGGGATGGGGCCTCCACAGCCTCCTGCCCACCTGCCCCTCGCAGCACCCGGCTGGGCTTACAGCCCTGCAGTCTCCAGCTCAGCAGCTGCCCAGCAGGCCCGGGCCGGGGTGTTCTGCAGCTGTGCTCGGAAAGGCCTGGGCCCCTCGCCTTGGCCTCAGGGCGCCCCCGCACCATGTGCAGACACAGACATACGACAGACACGCAAATGCACAGGCACGATGCCGCCCCCTCGAGCTCCCCTTTCGAGGAGGGCACCACCTGGGCCCCTTACCTTGCCGCACGGAGAGGTAGCGGTGGTTGGCTGCCACCAGCACCACCTGCGGGTGACTCTCCTCCAGATCGAAGAGCTCGTCCTTGCCGGGCCGGGTGTTGCGGCCGGCCTTGAGGGTGCCGGCGGGCCCCACGGGCGCCAGGTAGCGGCCGTCGCAGTCCTTGAAGGCCAGCTTGCCCGCCTTGAACTCCAGCGTGTAGCAGGCTCGGGCCTCGGGCTCCCAGACGAGCCGGCCGTCGCTGCGCAGGTAGCGGCTGTCGCAGGACTTGAGGCAGTACCGCCGGCTCTGGAAGATGAGGGTGAGGAGGGCGTCCACGCCCCACGGCATGTCACCGTCCGCTGCCATCTCGTCCTCCTGCGGGCACAGGTGCACGTAGCGCCGCCGGCTCACGCTCAGCAGGTGCGCCTGCGGGTGGATGGCCAGGTGCACTGTCCACAGCTCGGCCGGCGAGATGGCCGTGGCGAAGCAGGACAGCTGGTCTTCGGTGCCGCCGAAGAAGCGGCCGTGCGGCTCCGACCGCAGCGCCCAGCGCCCGTCCGGCTGCGGCAGGACCAGGAAGCGGCAGTCGCGGCCCGGCTGCTCCGCCTCGCAGGACACGCGCCCGTCCTCCTCGGCCGACAGGTACCGGCCCAGGTGGCTGCTGCGGAACAGCACCGCCGCGCCCTGCCCCGGGTCCGGCTCCAGCAGCCAGGTCTGCTTGCGCTTGAGGCTGGGCGCCGAGGCGTTGACCTTGAAGCCGAAGCTCTCGGCGGTCAGGTAGCGGTCCGTGTCGTTGACGAGGCCGAACTGGATCTTCAGCACCTGGCGCAGGCCGTTGGTCGGCATCCTGGGGCCGGCCAGGTGCCCCCCAGGGTCCGGGGAGCTCTCTCCAGGCGCTCAGGGCCCCTGCGGCCCCCCAGAGGCCCAGCGTGGCTCGGCTGGCCCCGGGCCCCCAGACCCAGCAGGCGTCATGGACCCGCTGGCTGCTCGGACGCCGCCTCTGAGCCGCGGGGTGGCCGGGCAGCGCTCACTCGGCCGGGGGCAGTGGAGGGCGGGGAGGGCGGGTCTGAGGCGTGCGGCTTAGGAGCTGCGGCCGCCTTTCACTGCCCCAGCTTGGATTTCAGCCGCTCCCGGATTGCACCGCGGCCGGAGCCCGAGGACTGCAGGGCCGGGGAGCAGGGTGGACCCCTCCTGTTCCCCCGGCGTGGGCCCGGCCCTGCCCCGTGGCCCCCGCAGCTCTCGGCCTCTCTCCTTGCTGCCCACCACCTCGGGGCCCAGACGCGAGGCACAGACCCCCAGACCGCCCCAACCGGCGCTTTCCCGACGCAGAAAGAGCCGCCGGGTGGAAAACTCACGGCCGCAACCCGATCGCAGCCCTCCACCCTCGGTGGCCGCCTGATCCCCACAGGATCCAGTTACTGCTTCTCTGATTCCTGCTGCCAGGAGCCCGGCAAGGCCCCCGCCCCGGCAGCCTGCAGCCCCTGCCCTGACCACCCCCGCCCGGCACTCTGGCCTCCCTGCTTGGGCCCCAGCCAGCAGCCCCGGGGCCTGGCCTTCCTGGGGTGGCCCCAGGCCCTGGGCTGGGAACAAGGGGACCAGTGACAGGGCCAGGAGCCCATGGGACCTGGGACCTGTGCAGCTGACCTGAGCCAGGGCACAGCAGTGCCCCATGTGAGAGACCCCTGTTTGGGGAGGAGCAGTGTGTGTACAGGGAGACGGGGACAGCCACAGGTACAGGAGACTGGAGCACAGTCCTCCGGGAGCTCCCTGCACAGGCAGCTGATGCCCATGCAGCCTGGGGTCAGAGGTCCAGGGTCAAGCCGGCTCCCAGCACACTCCTGTGTGCCCCGAGCAAGTCTCCAGGCCATGAGGCTGCTGCCTCCTCCACAGGGAGCCTGGGGTGAAGCCGGCCTCACCTGGCCCTTGGTGGACCCACTGGGTCACCTTGGGGACCCTGGAATGGCTGCTCCCATTGCTGAAGCAACTGGCTTAACTTTGGGGTCTTTATGGATTGGGGTCTGGGGGGCCGTGTGGGACAATGTCCATGTCATATTCCCAGGTGGCCACTGGAATCCGGAAGACGATGAGGTCAGCAGGCTGGGAGAGGCTGGAAGCTGGCCACACCGGGCCCCCAGGGACCCCTAGCCCCCAGCCCTGGGGCCACCTGGCAGCACCCCAACCCTGAGCTTGAAGGGGCATCTTTGGGGCCCTCAGTGGGCCCACAGTGGCCAGGGGGCAGGCAGTGAAACCAGAGCTGCCCACCCTGGCTGGGACCAGCCACACTGTCCCCTTCCTCACAACGGCGTGTGACCCCGGGCCTCCCCGGAGACCAGGAGCAGGGGACACGGGCCCCTTCCAGCCACAGCCTCGAGTCACTGCCCCGTCCTCCTGAGCCCTCCACCCCTGGGTGGCCACGATGGGGGCCCTGGCCGGGCACACGTGGCCCCCCAGGCCCGGGCAGAGGCACATGTGCACATGGCCCCAGTCGGGGCGTCCTTCCTCCATCCTCCAAGCCCCGAGCGGTGACTGCGCCAGGCACCTGCAGACCCTGGGGAGGGAATGGAGGGGACCTGTCCCCAACCTCAGGGGCCGGGCAGGGAGCCACGGCACAGCTGGTCACCCTCGCCAGGGCTGGTCTTAGCTCGCCTCGTGGGCTGGCCTGGTCCACTTCTGTGACCCACTCACGTTTGCAGGGCACCGACTGTGTGTGTGGCCGGGCTGCGCGCCAGACACCATCCTGGGGTTGCACCCCCTCCCCAGAGACGACGCCCCGGGGCCCACGCAATCTCCCCACCGTCCCCGGGAATGAGGGGGGGCGGGGTAGCTCCAATGCCAGGGAGGCGTCTCTGGTTGAGGGGTGCAGGCCCGTGAGGGGTCCTGCGGGCACAGCTCGGGGGCCTGTGTGCGTGGCTGGGAGGCTGGAGGGGCCGCTGTGCCCGGGGGGGCCCCCAGGCGTGGACACTGTGACAGCCTGTCCCTCTGATTAGTGTGACGCCTCATTAGTGCTGCCTGGCCCTGGCAGGGTGTCACAGGCATCAGGTGCGCGGCGGGAGGAAGCCCGGCCGCCAGGCGCTAATCGGGCCTGGCTCGGGGCAGCCTCTCGGGGCAGAGCCAGGAGCAAGGGCGGCCCCTCCGTTCTGGGCCCTCAGCTCCAGGCAGGCTGGGCCGCCCGCACCAGGCCAGGCGTGTGAGCCAAGAGGGGCTCTTGGGGCCCAGGGGAGGGGGCGAACGGCGGCCCCCAGCCCGGGTGTCCTTGGAGGGAGGCGGTTTGCAAGTGTCCCGCGCCCTCCTGGCCTCTCTGCCTCACGACCCCAGGCCTTTGCCCGGCTGCCTGCTGGGCGGTGCTTCCTTTCCGGATCCCCAGCAAGGTTTCTGGCACACAGCAGGTGCTTAATAAGTGCCTGTGGTTGTGTGATGGGGGTTCTGGCTCTTGGGGGGGGCTGAGACTCTGCAGAGAGATGCCTCGTTGTGCGTGTGCCGTGTGCACACATGCGTGTGAGTGAAGGTGCATGTAACCGCCGGCAGGGACGCCCGCGGGGCCAGCCTGGCCCCCGGAGACGCCATCCTGGGTCCCAGCCTCCGAGCCCGGGGGTGGCTGCCCAGGGCCTCACACCCAGAGGTACGCCACTCGCAGGAGCCCATGCAGCCTGGGTGCTCCAGCCCCTTCAGCGTCCTCGGGTGACAGGGGGCCCCTCTCCCCCAAACCCCTGCCAAAGGGCACCATGCAGCCACCCACGTGGGGGGCACAAACATGTCTGTCACTGTGGCCCGTCCAGGCTGCACTGTGGGGACATCCAAAGTCACCGCCACTCTGGGGGTCCCGTTCATCTGCCCTGCCCACCTCTGATCCCGGAGCGGGGGAGGAAATGTGCCCATTGTGTGCCGGGGGCCCAGGCCGCCGTCTGCGGCCCCCGGACCAGGCCCGGGCCCGGATGTCAGGCTGCCCAGCGCTGCCTTAGTCACGCTGGACTTGAGCAGACGAGGCCTTTTCCCTCCTTCTGAGAGAGGCTGTTTGGCAGGCGTTGCCTCCGGCCGCCTGCTCAGGCCGACAGACAGCGACGGACACGGTGGACGGACCCTCCCGGCCACGGCTGGGTCTGGGAGGCAGGGAGCGCCTTGCTGTGAGAACCCTCAGCACACAAGGCCCTCTGAGCGAGCCTCGAAGCCCTCCAGGCCCCTGGTGTCCTTTCTAGAACCCTTAGAAAACGATCCCCTTTCCGGGGATGCTGGGGGAGGGGCCGCCCCAGCCAAAGGAGGGTCCCCTCCCACCCAGGCGGCCCCTCCGGGGCTACAGGGGGAGGCCCAGCCCCCACGCCTAGACTGCCGCCCGGACGGACGGATGCTAGTGCTCCTGCCGGCACGCTGCCTGCTGCCATGGCGACTGGCACGTGCTCCAGGCTGCGTGCCCAGCGACGGATGCTAGTGGTGTGAGCTGGCACGGGCCCTCGCGTGTGCAGGCCGGGGAGAGGCGACTCCCCGCCTCAGCTGGCCCGGAGCCCTGGAAACTGGGAAACAGAGCCGGGGCAGCCCCACGGCAGAGGACCACGCCCTTCACGTCCCCGGCCTAGGCCCCCTGCTCTGAGCAGTGGCCCCAGCCCCCCTGCAAGGACCAGAGGACACCCTAATGCTCCTGCAGGTGCCCCGCCCCCAGCACCCCCTGTCCCCAGGCCAGGCCACTCTGGCCAGTCCCTGCTGGGCCTCTGCACCCAGCCCCCTTGTTCAGGGTGCTGCTGGGCACAGGCCAGCCCCGATTCCCTCACTCCTGGACCTGTCACCTGCCCCCAGCAGGGGTCCAGCTTGGCAGGGCTCAGGGCCCGGCCTGCATTGTTCCGAGTGCGGCTGGCTGGCCTCATGATTTTTTCATGGCTGAGCTCCGTACGCCTCTGCAGTTCTGCTTACAGGGCGAGGGGGGCCGCACGTCTCTTACTGCGCCTGGGTTGGCTTACTGAAGCCTGCGCAGGGTTTAGGGTGACAGGCTCCGCTGGGCAAGGCGGGAGCAGGGCAGTGCGGGAATGAGGAGCTTGGGGAGGGGTTCCCCAGCCTCAGGCCTGCTGCCGCTCCACCTCCATGGGAACCCCACCCCAGCCCCCGCCCTCAGCCGGCAGCGCCCTGCTGGGCCTACGCAGTCTCCTGGCTTTTATCCTGGTGAGTGCTGGGGAGGGAGGAAGAGGGCCTTGTGGAGGCCAGAGGGTGAGGAGGGAGAGTCCAGAGGCTGCTCTCGGCCCCGGCAAGGCCACAAGTCCCCAAAGGGACCACAAAGGCAGAACTGAGGGCATCCTGGCAGGCCTAGATGCCTCATGACCACTGGGGTGAACCTCCAACACTCACACCCCAGGACCTTTGCACACGCCTGAGACAGGAGGGGAGCATTCCCGAGAACATCTGAGTGTGAGGCCCTGGCTGCATGGGGGACTCAGAGTGGGAGCAGACCTGCTTCCAGAAAACAGCTGGTGTTCACAGACCACCTGGGCCCACAGACACCCAGGTAGCGAGAGAGCCCACGACGGACTCTGCAGGGGGCCATGGCAGCCTCCGCCCAGCCCCCATCCACACACACACACACACACACACACACACACACACACACAGGTAGGCAGGTGCCCCGTGCCAGCTCACACGATGCCACATCTCTCTGCAGAGGTTCGGCCCATCAGGCAAGAACCAGACTTCCCACATCTGACAATCCCAGGCGCTTATTAAGCACCTACTGTGTGCCAGAAACCTTGCTGAGCATCCAGAAAGGACTTCACTCTACCTCTGACCCCTGAGGCAAAACAGAAACGGGCCGTTTTCCGTTCCGCCACGAGGCAGGCTCTGCACAGGGCCACCACCGTGGTGTCACATGGTTCCCTTGGGGACAGTGCCACGCCACTCAGCTGCAGGCGTGTGTGCCCAGCTGCTTTCTGAAACAGTCGTATTACCTGTAGTTAACAAAACTGCAGAGAGAGCAAGAGAGAGGCCCCAGGAACTAAAAATACGACAGTGACGGCAACGAAATGCAGTATGTGATCGTGGACTAGGTCAGAAGGAAACGCTAAGGAGCGCGTCACTGGACCTGTGCCATCATTACTAACCCATACGGTCCACGCCATCGCTGACTGCAGACGGCACCAGGTTAAATTGCCCGACTTTGACCTGTGTGTGGGGGTTATACGAGGCGACATCCTCGTTCGTAGGGAAAACACACAGAAACGCTACGGGGATCCTCCCCGAAACCTTCTCCGAAAGGACTCAGAAATAAAAACAGGGAGGCGATCCATGCTGAGGAAATGTGTCGAAACGTTCAAAACGTAGGTGAGTTTGAAATTACTTCAAAACGCAAGGTTAAGAAGCACAATAAGTAAAATGAAAAATCCCACTGAAGGCTCAGAAGTCAAGAAAGTATCCCAGAAAAGAAAGAAAAAGGCCGGGCGCTGTGGTTCACGCCTGTAATCCTAGCTCTTGGGAGGCCGAGGCGGGCGGATTGCTCAAGGTCAGGAGTTCGAAAGCGCCTGAGCAGAGCGAAGACCCCGTTCTACTAAAACTAGAAAGAAATTAGCAGGACAACTAAATATATAGAAAAATCAGCCGGGCATGGTGGCGACATGCCTGTAGTCCCAGGCTACTCGGGAGGCTGAGGCAGGAGGATCGCGTTGAGCCAGGAAGTCTGAGGTTGCTGTGAGCAAGGCTGACGCCACGGCACTCACTGTAGCCTGGGCAACAGAGTGAGACTCTGTCTCAAAAAAAAAAAAAAAAGAAAAAAGACATTGAAGAAATAATAAGAATATTAGAGAATTAATCTAGGAAGTATAATAGTATAATGCTCGGTTAATAGAATCTCAAAATGGAAGAAGAGAAAAAATAAAAGAGGACAGAAATTGTTAAAGACACAATACAAGGAAATTCCCAGGGAGCAGAGGCTGGGTGTGGCCAACGCGGTGAATGCCACCACGGCATCACCCAGAGCAGCAGGGAATTGTGGATCAGCAAGGAGAGCTGTGAACGTGGGCTCCGGAATCTAGTTTCTCCATAACAAAAATACCAGCAAGAGACAGGGGCTAACCCTTCGGACATCTCAGCCGTTTCCTTTCTTGTTTTAATTTTACTTATCTTTTCTTAGAGACAGGGCCTCACTCTGTGGCTGGGCTGGAGTTCAGTTGTGAGATCACAGTCCACGGCAGCCTCCCACTCCAGGGCTCCAGAGATGGACCATGGGTGTGAGTTGCCCTGGCGGCCCAGCTCATGTTTAAATTTTGCATATCTTGCTTTTTTTTTTTATTCCTTTGAGACAGCAGTCTCGCTCTGTTGCCTGGGCTAGAGTCGCCGGCATTACGCTAGCTCACAGCAACCTCCAACTTGGGCTCAAGCGATCCTCCTGCTCAGCCCCCAAGTAGGGACTACAGGCATGCGCCACCATGCCGGCTAATTTTTTCTATATATTTTTTAGTTATCCAGCTAATTTCTTTCTATTTTTAGTAGAGATGGGATCTCGCTCTTGCTCAGTCAGGCTGGCCTTGAACTCCTGAGCTCAAGCGATCCTCCTGCCTCGGCCTCCCAGAGTGCTAGGATTACAGACGTAAGCCACCGCACCTGGCCACGTTTAAATTTTTATCTACTTATTTTGTATTGCCCTGGATTTTACGCAAATATTTTTTTTTATTTTTTGTAGAGAGGGATCCTTGCTATGTTGCCCAGGCTGGTCTCAAACTCCTGGGCTCACACAACCCTCTGGCCTCAGCCTCCCAAAGTGCTGGGATTACAGGTGTGTGCCACCACGCCAGGCCTGAGGCTGGTTCTCAATTTGAAATTCCCTCCCTCCGAAGTACCCATCACAAGGGAGAGTGAAATAAAGCCATTTGCAGATAGGAAAACTCAGAATTTTACCTAGGGGCCCCAGCCCTGGCCTGTCCCAGCTGAGGGACCCAGGGGAGTCACCTGGCCTGCTGAGCCTCAGTCTCCGGGGCCAGAGAGGACAATGTGTGCCAGGAGGCCCGAGAGGAGCCAATGAGCAGTTATCCTACGGGGGCACCCAGGTGCTTTGGGCAGGGGCCACGCGTGGGGGCTCCTTGGGACAATTCCTTCCCACGGCCCTGGTGGACACAAGAGGTGGCCGACCCCTGTCATTCCCTGGTGTGACCTGACCTCAGCTTGGGTCTGGTTCACCTCCCACTCCTGTCCTCTGCTCTTCCCCACAGCCCCAGGGGCAGGTGTGGCTGTCCTGGTGGGGCACTCAGGTCCCCTGAGGCTTCCACCTTGCCTTGTCCCCACTGCCTTCCTGGAGCGGGCCCAGCCCGACAGTCTTGTCCACAGCCGGCGGCCTGGGGAGCCCCTCACACAGCTCAGGCCTGGAGGAGCTGCACCGCCCCTTGTCCCCAGCAGGCATGTGTGGTGAGAGGCCCAGAGTCCTGCCCCTCCAGCCCTGGCACCCCCTTTTCCTGCTAGGTGACCTTGAATCAGCCTCTCAGCATCTCTGAACCTCCCTTTCCCTCTCTGGGAAATGACCAGGTATTAAGGGCCACCCGCCCAGGTGGCAGAGGGGCTGAAATAACGCCGTGTGCCCAGTGAGCACGCAGGGAAAGGGGACCGGCCTTGTATTCAGAAGACTCAGCAGGTGCACCCTGCGTGGGGCTCCTCCGTGGGGCTCCTCCGTGGGTGCTGCCTGCTCCCGGACAGAGGACAGAGCGGTGCCCGGGACATCCGGGTGGGCTGGCCTGTCTGGGTGAGTCCAGGCCCCGGCCCTCCGCTCTGCCCTGCCCAGGGCGCGGGCTGACCCCGTCCCACCTCCCCGCGCGTCAGCACTGGCTGAGGTCACGGCCGCTCCCCGCGCTTCCCCGGCGGTGACTCAGCGGCCGCGCTCCTCGCCCAGCGGCGCTAGCGGGGCCCACCTGGCGGCCCGCCCGGGAACGGCACCGGCGGTCTGCCCGGCCCGACGCAGCGCCCGCGCGGGCGCCACCTCCCGGCGCGGCTCCCGGCCCGAGCCCGGCGGTGCGTCCCGGGAGCGTGAGCGGAGGTGGGACCGGCACAGGCGCCCTCCCCGCGCGCAGGGCACGGGGCGCAGAAGGGCCGGGGGTGGCGCAGCTCGCACCCCGGAGCCGGGCGGGTCCGGGCGCCCCGGGACTCGGGGCCCCAGTTTGCTCTGTTTTGGGGACACCCTCTGGTTTTCCGGCCCAGGCCCACGACCATCATGTCCCTGGGGACATAGTTTCTTCTGGAACACCCGCGCTGACCCAAAGGTCGCAGGGAAAGCTGGTGTACGGACCAGACTTCCGGGAGGCGGCCGGCGCTGGGAGGGCCGCGTGGGGACAAGGCGGGGCTGTGCCGGGAGGACAGCACCGCCCCCGGCCAAATGAGGCACGCAGCCCTGCGCGCCGGCTCACCCAGCGGGAGCCCCTGGTCGCCAGGCTAGCGCAGACCCACCCTCCAGGGCCCCGCACCCCAAGCGCTGCAAGGCCGGGCCCCAGCCGTGCCCGCCCTCTCCCCTGGGCCAGGTCCTGGAGTCTTCGCGCTGGGGACGAAGGGCGCGGCCAGGCTCGGGCTCCACCCACAGCTGCAGCCCTTGGGACAGTGGCGGGGTGGGGGGAACAGAGCACCCAGATCAGTGGTCCCCTGCCCTTTTCCAGCCCTGACCCACTTCCAGGCATAGGGAGGGTGAGATCCCCTGTCACAGGGGGTCCTGGCCTAGTCTTGCTCTGTGTAGCTCCCCTGCAGCCCTGGACCAGAGCAGGAGGTGCAGGAAGGGTTAACCGTGGACCTTCTAGTCCTCCCGCCCACCTCTGTCCCCTGCAGGCCTGGAGAGGCAGCTCCTCCCCAGCCTGCCTGGGGCTGGACACCAGAAGCCAACCAGCTGGTCGCAGGGACAGGGTGCTGGGAGGCCTGGCCTGGCCTCTTCCCTTCCAGTCCCCAGTCCGGGAGGCATGGCCTGGCCCTGCACTTTGTAGTCAGGAAGGGGGGGAGGCTCAGAACCTACCCACTTCCTCAGCTCCTCAGCCCCGTTCCTCCAGGACTGGGACCCTCCTCCCGTCCATCTCCGCTCAGGTTTCCCACCCACATGCAGGTGCCAGGCACAGGGGACACCAGCCGCACCATGGAGGACAAGGCACCATGGAGGACAAGGCAGCTGTGCCCCAAGAGGGGCAGAGGGGGGTAGACAAACTGATCACTGGGACTGGCTGGGCCCGGGGGATGGCGTGGGGGCCTGCAGGGAGGAACCAGCAGGCAGTGGTCAGACCGGGCGCCAGCGGGCAGGGGTGCATAGGTGAAGGGCGGAAGGACAGGCAGAGGCTGCCCCAAGTGCCCCCAGCACCAGGGGAAGGGACTTTAGATGCCATCGTGAAGCAGGGGTGGCCTTGGGGAGCATCGTGGGGACCTGATCTGCAATGTGGGGGCGACTGTGGGAAGCAGAGGCAGGTGCTGGCTGAGGCTGCTGGGCTGGGACGGTGAGAGGAGGGCCAGGCCAGGGAGCAGGAAGGACAGACAGGCGGGTCAGAGATGGCCTGGAGGAACCCTGGCGCCTGGCTTCAGCCTGTGCAGGGGGGAGGGGGACTGCGCAGCGAAGCAGTCAGAGGTCAGAGGCCAGAGGCCAGGACTCTGGGGTCTAACCCTGTTTCCCTGTTGCCACCTGTAAACACAGCTCCACAGAGCCGGGGCCATGCAGGGGGGAGACCACCGTGGTGGGGAAGGAGGAAGGGGGCTGGAGGGGGCAGGGCACCCTCAAGTGGGGTGCGCCGACAGTCTATGGAGGAGGGTGCAGTCGAGCCTGCATGAGGGTCACGCTTCACCCCGGTAAGGTGAAGGGTGGACAGAGGGTTCCATTTCTAGACCGCCATGCGGCTGTGTGGGGCAGGTGGGAGCCAGGCCCGGGAGGTCCTGCTGGTCTGGGGGTGTGCCCTTGAGGCAGAGTGTGGTGCCACCCGTCCCAGTCTGACATACCCGGCACTCAATGCTGCTTTTTTTTTTTTTTTTTTGAGACACGAGCGCCCTTTTCTGCTAGGCTAGATGAGTGCGTGGCGTCAGCGCTACTCACAGCAACCTCAAACCCTCCTGCCAAGCGATCCTCCTGCCTCTCAGCCTCCTGAGTACTGGACTACAGCACGAGCCACAATGCCCGGCTGATTTATATATAAATACTATTAGTTGCCATTAATTCTTTTCATAATTGCCTATGGTAGAGACGGGGCTCGCTCAGGCTGGTTAGACTCCGACTTGAGCACTAGCCGCTCTGCCGTTAGCCTCCCCAGAGTGCTAGGATTACAGGCGTGGAGCCACCGCAGCCGGCCCTTTTTTATATAAGTTTTTTTTTCTTTATTTTTGGCATAATTCATACGGGTACAAATTTTAAGGGTTCAAAAAATGCCCTTTCCCCCCCTCCCCCTCAATGCTTTTTCTTACCACTGAAATCAGACACCTGGGGTCTCACGGCCAGAGGCCCTGCAAACCTCGGTGGGGAGGTCTGGGGGGAGGTCATCTGGACCACATGATGGC